TGCTCCCTAAAAGTATCAGATGAAGGACTGTATATATCTAGTAAGGCCCTGTAAAAGCGAGACACAGCACCTCTAGTGTAGGGCTCAACTGACATGAAGCTGTCAAGCACTGAGTTTCGAGGAAAAGAGCCAGAGTTTCTTGAGCAACAGTTCTCCAGGTCTTCTGAAGGTCTTTCAGAAAGCCTGGGGAACTATTGGAGCCTGGACTTCGTCATTATGATGTTGACAGAGAACAGAACAAAAGCCAGCCAACATCCAAAGAAGACCTTTGAATGTCCGTCAAGAAGCCCGGAGAACTATCCCCAAAGATAACTTAAAGAAATGGTAAGAAAGCTTGCCTAAGAGAGTTCAGGCTGTGTAGAAGAATAATGGTAGTCAGACCAAATATTGAGTTTTCAGTATGTGGAATTGTACAAAAACAGTAAAATCAGACATGTTCAGAGCAGAATAAAGATTAAAGATCTTACATACTGTAACGTGACCTTTGAAAACTTGAAAATGTTTGCAGTAGTTTGTCACTGATGTCCTGAGCACAGACTCCCAATCTGAGCAATGTAAGCTCATACACACATAAACTAAAGTTTAAAAGCATTTGTTTTCTGGGTTTTTTCCCTCACTGCTGATTTTCCTACGCTGACTGTTGATGCTGATTTTTGTTTTGCCCACTATTAGCCCCTACACCAAGCGAAGATGAAGGAAGGGTGAGAAACTTGAGACATTTAAGCCACGTACGGGCTGTCTGCCATTCTGCATGTGCACTGACCTTGAATATAATCACATTAGGTCCCTGTACACTACTGAAAGGAAAAAGGGAGACCACTGATGTCTCTGATGGGCTTCGCTGGACTTGCGAGTACCAGGTTGTGCCCAATAAAAAACGGTAAGAGGATTAACCGAGCGGGAATTACCTTTCACACTTTTTCTCCAGAAGCGGTCACTGACCTGAACATTTATGGGGAAACATGTTGCTTTTAGCATGTAAACGCATAGTATTAAAAAAGAAAAACAAAACAACCTAAAATGAAACAATAAAAGAAGTCCAGTTTAAAACAACGACTTACTAATAAAAGTAAATGCTACTAAAGCTATTAATTTAAACATTTGCCCATCCTATATAGATTTTTTGTAGTTGCAGCGCATTAAAGAGAGAAAGAAAGAGTTTTGGGGTTTACATATTGTGGAAAACATCATCTATAAAATATGTAGAGTCCAAACAATTAATAAATTGCTTATTAGTAATTTTCCTCACGAATGCTGCTGGATTCGCTCAGTTCGCTGACACGAGGCACACACAAGAAATCTGGAAAGAGGGAAGCAAAGACACACTGTGTCTTCAGGTGAAGTACCATGCTAAAGAAAGACACTCTACAAACTGGCAACCCAAATGTTATTTTACAGGCTTAAGCGATCAACGAAGCATTACCAAACCAAGCCATGAATATAGCTTAAACATTTTATGACTGAGTGGTCATGTAGTCTTAGCTGACTGGTTTGTAGTCTTAAATTAACCTTTTACAAGTGTATTAAACCCATATCTGAACCACATCGCTGCGTCTCACACCCCGACTATGGAGGCGAAGGTCTTTTTCGAGCATTTTTTAAGCTGCACTGTTCACTCACACATGCCAACATTTCCTCTAAATCAGATGGTTTATGGCATAACTGCAAGACCAGATGGGGAAGTAGCAGTCATACTGCAGTAAGGCTGTGTTAACAGTTAATAAAAACATCTATTTTATAAGAGTATGTTGAGGCATTTATTGGCCTGCGGACAACGAGAGTCAAAAGGAATTTTGCTGTGTGAGCTTTACATTATTGCATGCATTTCATGTAGTGCCATATATATTAAACCAGCTAAATTACACCCATGTAATAAGTATTATAAGTGAGAGCGATTAGCTGATTAGCTGCTTTGGCATTTAGACAATAGGAATCCTTTAAATAAACAAATAACACACAACATTAAAATGATCAAAGTACAAATTATTTAGCCATGAAGATGTTTGGGTTTTTTTTTGGAGATGACAGCAGGACAGTCACATTACATACTCAGAACATTTTGTAAAATATTATTACGTGGCTGACTGTTGAGAGCAGTTCTCTCACCTGTTCTGAATACCACTCTGATCATCTTTGACCCCAAAGAAAATGGCTCCCACGATGAGAGCGAGGAAAACGTTGACTCCCAGCTGCGTAAGAGATTTAGACAACGTGATGACTTCTGTGCCTACAACATACACATTCATTATGTTGTTATATAAAAAACTTAAAACCTCCTGAAGTCCAGTTTAATCCAAACTTACCAGTTTGTGTTTATGGAAAAACTAAATTCAACTTTTGGGGGTAAAAAACAAAACAAAAACATGGGTTCAAAGGACTAAAGTGAGCAGAAAATGCTACGGTTATGTCCTCCTGAATTGATCGTGGGGTGAGATGACTGAATGGAGGGGGAAAAAAGGTGAAAGCAAGACATGTTTTAAGCTGAAACTATTTACAGGTTATGACAGGACTAAGCGGTTCCCAGGGTGAAGGGATAAGCCAGTAAGGTTGAGCCTTTTTCACCTCATTCCCCTCAGTCCCTCATGTGGAAGCTGGGCAGCGGCGGGATAGGTCATGATGCCATCATGTGATGACTCCCACACAGGGGCCAAGGGGCTTTGGCTAGATATGATATCAGTTCATATTCAGGCCCAAAGAGGCAGGAGTGGGGTCACAACAGTCACCAAAGCTGATTACAGCACCCATGCTACCAAGGAACCTTCTCGAAGGATTATTTTTGACTTATTTAGGACCAATTAGCTGTTAATAATTCTTAAAGTGAGGAGACTTCTGACAGCATTGTGCCGCCATGGGTCGACTAATGAGGGCATAAAGCTGACCCCTCTAACACGCTGCATATCCTGCTCACGATGATGGGGCCAATACAACGTACACTGTTAAAAAAAAATCTTAAAAAAACGGTATTATTCCGGCAGCTGGGCGCCCAAATACTACCGTAAAATAACAGAAAATAACTTCCTCATAAAAATACGGTTATTTCCAGTAATGACAATACAGTTTGTTGCGCTAATTTTACATTGGATCTTGCCATTTCAAGTGATCTTAAACATTAAATTAGGAACATGTTAATGTGATTAAACAATGAAATTATCTATAAATAGGAAAAAAAACAGTAATATTCCAGCAGCTGGGGCGCCAAAATACTACCGTAAAATAACAGAAAATAACTTTCTCATGAAAATACAGTTATTTTCAGTAATGAAAATAGAGTTTGTTGCGCTCATTTTACATGGGATTCTGCCTTTTCCAAGTGCTTTTAGACATTAAATTAGGAACATTTTAACGTGATCAAACAATGAAATTACCTATAAACAAGGTCGATGAATGTGGCAATATGAATCATAATACGTAAATGTACAGAAATATACAGTTAACAGTTGG